TTGAAGCGAATTACAAGGATGTTCACAGTGGGCTGTGTTTACGTTAATCTCACATCATAAAGCATAAAAGCCGATGTGCAAGTGCATTTAACCACTTACATTACTCAGCCGGACGCGCAAGCGCTCTTCTTCGTGAGCATTTGAGTGTGCGGTTAAAAACTAGCCTAGAGCGCCATCTGCTGTTAAAAACTAAGCTCAGAATTGATTCCAGAGAGAATCACGATGCATTCCGAAAATCTCGGAATCGATCCACGAATCGCGATGCATCAATTTATTGTCCCAGCCCTAGTTGCGGAATGGAAAAGTTTGGGAACCCCTACACTAGAATATCGCACGGCTGGACAAGGCTTTCAGCCAATCAGATCCGAGGACCAGAAAGAACTGTTGTATATACTGTATATATATATATCATTTAAGTAGGCCTATGAATCATTACATAATTATTAAAGCAGAAATATTTAAAAACCAAGTGTTTTTTTATATTTCAATTTATTAATTTTGCTTGTAAATGTCTCCTTGTAAAACTTTATTAAAGTAAAGAAATGTTTGATCAATTTTCATTGCTTCCCTAAAAGTTTTAATGAGCTCCTACATTTTTCAGCTTAGGATAACATTTGTGGTAAAACATTTAAAAAATCTGAACATGCCAGAAGAATCTAGACGTTTGGTAAAGCAACTTGAAGGTCATGAGAATGATTCAGAATAAGAAACAGCTCTGGATTCCCAATGCTACCGATCACTGAGTATGTTAAAGCTCAGTGTGGATCAGCTGCTCACCTGGACATTGCGGTTGAGGCTAACTGCGGGCATGAACACACCCTCCAGGTTCTCGAAAGCCACGGGTCCATGCTGCTGTTTGTTGATGAAGAAGGTCAGAGTATGTTTCGTCAGGTCTAACAGAATCCCCACAGTTGAACCCTTTGTGATGCCACCCTCAGCCCTGCAAGAATCACAGAGAAGAGGAAGGAGACAAATCAGAATCAGAAAGAGCTTTATTGCCAAGTATGTTTGCACATACAAGGAATTTGTTATAGTGTCACAAGCTTCCAGTACACGGAGACAACAATAACACACAGATAATAAAAATGAGATGTGAATAAAATACACATGCATAAATATAAACCACAAAAAAAGAATAAATTGTATGTACAGGTGTGCTATAGATGGAGTAGGAATAGAATAAAATAAAATAAGTTGTAGGGATGTACTAGGGTTTAGGGTGATAAATAAGTATAAGGTTATTGCACATACTGTACTATAATTGCACAATGGGAGAACATTAACTGTTCATGAGGTAGATTGCCTGGGGAAAGAAACTGTTCTTGTGCCTGGCTGTCCTGGTATTCGGTGCTCTGTAACGCCGACCAGATGGCAAAAGTTCAAAAAGGAGATGGCTTGGATGTGATGGATCCAGAGTGATTTTCTGAGCCCTTTTCCTCACTCTGGATGTATACAGTTCTTGGAGGGTAGGCAGGGGGGCACCAATAATCCTTTCAGCAGTCCGAACCGTTCTCTGTAGTTTTCTGATGTCTGATTTTGTAGCTGAACCAAACCAGACAGTTATTGAAGTGCACAGAACAGACTCGATGACGGCTGAGTAGAACTGTTTCAGCAGCTCCTGTGGCAGGTTGAATTTCCTCAGCTGGCGAAGGAAGTACAACCTCTGCTGGGCCTTTTTAACAGTGGAGTCAATGTGAGTGTCCCACTTCAGGTCCTGAGAGATGGTGGTGCCCAGGAACCTGAATGACTCCACTGTCGTTACAGTGGTTTAGCAGATTTAAGTTTATGCCTGTAAGTCGGTATAAGATGAACCAGGCAGTGGTCAGAGAGTCCTACAGCTGATTTCCCCGTTGATTCTGCGTCGTGATCTGCTCTGAACAGCTGAAAGCCCGGGAGACTCAACACGCTGTCCGGAATGGCGTCATTCAGCCAGGTTTCCGTGAAACACAGAGCAGCAGAGTGTGAAAAATCCTTATTTGTCCGGGAGAGCAGAAGAAGTTTGTCCATTTTGTTGGGTAGAGAGCGGAGATTCGCCATATGGATGCTGGGCAACGGCGTTCTGAATCCGCGCTTCCTGAGCTTCACGAGCACGCCGGCTCTCTTCCCTCGTCTGCGCGTCCTGAAGCGCTTGATCAGCGCAGCAGCTCCGCCGACAACAATGTCCAGCAAAACGTCCGAATAAACGAAATCCGGTAGAAGATTGTGTGGTGTGTTCTGCCGAATGTTCAGCAGCTCATCCCTGGTAAAACTGATCGTGTTTGAGAAACAAAAAACAGGAAAAACTAACAAAAACAGTACAAACACTGGAGAGCCAAACACTGAGGCTGCCGTCTGCGGCGCCATCGCTGCTATTAGATGAAGTGAATCAGCGACACAGGATACACAGGAATGTTTTGATCCAAGATCTCTCTGGGCAGATATGAGAAGGATGCAGGAAATTGAGAATTTGGAGTAGAGCTGGATCAGAGAAACTGTGCTATGACTCCACTTTACTCACAAATCCAGTATGTATGTTACTTCTGAATCACAGCAATGCTAATATTCAGTTTGACAGGATGACTGCAAGTGTGATATCACCTACTTATATTTATAGAGTAGTGAAGAAAAATTCAACAGCTCATAGACATTTTAAAAGAAACATGTTGAGGAATACAAGGGAAGCCTCTACATATCATGGATGTCTAAACATTGGCCCTGTTTCCACCTGTTATTAAGGTTCAGTTCACCAGGGTTTTAGTCAATAATTTAATACAATAAACAGTATTGTAAACAGACGCTCAATCATGTTTGCTTGATGCGCAAGAACCAATGAGGTTAGTTCTTACGTGTCATGTGAGCACGTTTGAGCTTCGGCAAGAGCCAGTGAGATTTGTTCTTACACATCAAGCAAGCACAGTTACATTTCTGTTTACTATACTTGATATGCTGTATGTAAGAAAGTAGATTAATGTTTATATGTGAATAAATCTGTTCATCATATAAAGTGACATCTCTCTTCAATGTAGCGCATCGATTCGCTACAGGAGAATTTTGTTCACCCCCCGGAGCCGTGTGAGGCACTTTTTATTATGGATGGATGCGCTTTATTTCACTTCTTTTGGACTGATGCATGCAACACCCGCTGACTGCCATTAAACAGCTTGGAAGGTCAAAGACAATTTTTAATATAACTCCGACTGGATTCGTCTGAAAGAAGAAAGTCATATACACCTAGGATGCCTTGAAGGTGAGTAATTCATGGGCTAATTTTCATTTTTGGGTGAACTAACCCTTTAAGTTGTTTGGAACAACTTGAGGGTGTGTACTTTTTTATTTGTTTTTTTGGGGGGGTTAATTATCCCGTTAACATGCATTTCAAATACACCTTATGTGACTCCTTGTGTTCAGATTTTTTAAAGCCATTCCTCTCATATTTTGTCACAATCTGCATCACTGTCTGTGTCGTTTCTCATTAAAGCTATGGTGTGAACTTCTCTATACTTAAGAATTACTATGATTATTAAAACTTTATAGTCAATGTTATAGTTATCCTTGGTGTGAATGGGTCTTAACTTGAATGTGCATGCTGCACTCAGCAATGAAAATGACATAGAGCGTTATATGTTTCCACCTGTTTTTAGTGCTGACCACTTGTGAACAGATCACCAAAAATGCATCTCAATACAAACAGAACCATTGAGTTTCTAGAACATTTTCTTATCTAACAAATATCACAAAGCTGATAATACTAGAACTATTACTAGCAAAGTTCTACATAAGTGACTCTACAAACTACTTTCACCTGAATGGTTTACCTGCTTACAGCCTCTGGGTGATGAAGGGAGAAGAGAATAAAAGAAACATGCTGGGAAAACGAGACATCTTAAAAATCTATAAAATATTTTTTTTTAAAAGAGAAGAGGAAAAAACTTCAAAAGAGTATTATGGATCCAAGACGTAGAAGTAGAACAAGCTTGGCTTCAGGCTACATTAAGTAGGTTACATACGAAAGGCACAGATTTCAGGGACTGTTAAGTGTAACACTAGCAGTACTGTTGGCGTGTCCTCGCGGTCACCTCACTATCAATAAACGGAGGCAGCATTTAAATCCTTGCATTAGTATTCAAGTGTTATAATCAGCCTGTCCTTCATACTCTCCAGAGGACACTGCATCAGCATAACTGTGACATACACCATGTGTACATGCACTATAATCTACAGTATATCCTAATCAACCCTTTATACTGAAACTGTTTATAATGCTCCACAACTATGAAAATATTCCAACATACTGTAATATGATGTATTCATCATCAGCATAGTCTGAACTATCACAGACATGTGTGTTGTTGTCTTGCCTATCTTGCTCTTCCACTTATAATATTTTAGCAAGTTTACATCTATGTATTTTGCAGATGCTTTTTCTAAGAGGCTATTCACACATAATGCATTTTGCTTTGAAAAACGTGAGACGTGGATATTGGAATAGTGGAAAAATGCAATGTTCCGAAATGCGTTTCTTAACAATAGAACTTATTTTAACTTAAGCGCTGCATTTTAGTATGCCATGTTATGCGCAAGAAGCGCAAAAGACACAAAACATGATTGCAATGATCAAACACGTCCATCTAGTGCTTGTTTACATAGAAAAACAATGGGAATATAGTGGAACAGAAAAACATGTTCTATGCGAACAGTCCATTAAATTGCATTTAAGGTACACGTTTTATTAGTTCTTGCTGAATGGGAACTGAAGCCATAACCTTTGGAGTTGCTAGCATCATGCTCTACTGTTTAAGCTACAGAAAAACTGTACAGTAATTTAATGAACACATTAATTTTCATTTATGTCCTTAACATAAAAGAATGAGATGAATCCAGGCTTCTTTTAATGTTTTCATAATGTTATAAAATCTATAGTAATTAAAATCTCCTCCTTGCTTCAAAAATGTCTGTAGCAATTAGAGTTCATCTCTCAACTTTCAGAGTTTGCTTCACATTTAGTTGTGATACCATGCATAAATAAGTGATTTAAATCCATATTATTCATAGTTTTAAATTCAGATGTAGTTATTTGGGTTTATTTTTCCCTAATGTTTCCCATGTGCACATAAAAACAACATTCCTTCACCCAAAAATTAAAATTCTATAATTTACTCATTCTCAAGTCTTTCTTGAAGACATTCTTTCATCTTTAGGACACAAATAAACATACTTCTCACATCATTTTTCCCTATGATGTTTCTGATGTCTTTATGAAGTTTATAGACATCGACAGCAAGTACAATTGAGCAGCCGTTGACCATATTTGACGTGCTCTATGTGTGTACTGATCAAAGTTTATTAATATAAAGCCTAAATTAAACTCTTCATCATGTAAAGTGATTGTTTGTTCAGAAGACTTGGATTAAACCACTCAATTCATATGGATACTTGTCTGTATTCACCTTTTCCAGCTTGACAATTTTGGTTATGTGGACTTTCAGTGAATAGACAAAAATGATGTGTTGGACAGATGGTCCCTTCCTGTCCAAGAGGTGGTGCCTGTCCAAAATAATGTGGACCAAATCTGTCAAAAGCCCAGCTTGCAAAATTGATCACCACCCTAGAAAAATTAAGATGCGTACCTGTTGGTGTGGGAGTTGTTGTGCATGAACCAGGAGCGATTGTTGTCCACATACATGGCCCAGGCCTTATCGTCCTTCCCTAGCATCATGTCCTTCATCGTATTAATCCGTGCCACACCGAATGCAGGGTCGGGGTGGTTGTCATAGCGATCCACACTAAGTTCCCAGTAATGCACGCCCTTGGAGAAGGCAGCCGTCCCGAGCACCACGCGATCATCGTAACTGTTACAAGTCACAGTCTGGTTTTCATTAGATAGGACAATGTCTCTGTGAGCTGACGTAGGATCAAAGGTGAACCATGCCACTGCAGAGGAAAGATCAAATAAAGTTTGTGAAAGCCAGAATAATCCAGTGTGGTTCAAAAACATATTTGCAGTTAAAGAGGTTAATCAATAAAAAATTCTAAGATTAATCAAAATAGAATCTCACAGCATTTGACTGACATTACTGTACACTGTATATGACAATAGTTAATGCTGTTTCTCAAACTGTTTGTGCAACAAAAAAAAAAAGTCCAATGTAAAAAGTGCACCAAATTTAAATTCCACCATTTTCTTTGTGACTTAAAAGGCTTTTTCTGTTTAGTTTTCTGTTAAGATTTAAAAAACAGAGCCAAGGGATTTTTAGGACAGTTATATCTGACAGATAAAAGGATCGTTTTATGTGTGATATTCCCAGAAAAAAAAAAATTTAGTAACGATATAAAAGAGGTTAAGTTTAGCCATCATAATTTGCTGATCATACACATAGCTACACATATTCACTCCTGCAGCGACACATGAATTATTAAAAGAGCTGAAGGAATGAAATATTGAAGCTAGTATGCAGAGGGCCTGTAAGGCAAATCTAGCATCAAACCCTAATAAGTCCTGTGTTAATTAAACATCTCCTGTAGGTTCCCTGGTTTATGTAGTTTTGCAAACAGCAATCTAGAACCTGCCACTGTAACTATAACTGGGGTCTTAATTCTAACAGTCTTCTATTGGTGCAAAACTTAAAAGCCAGTCACAGGACTTAAATATACACCTATAAATAAATACAATAAATATAAATAATGATCTTTTTTTTCCATAAACATTTATACATTTTAATCTAAATCTTAACATTGAAAAAGTTAATATACATAGTTAATGTGTGTGTTAATTTACCCCTGTTCCCACTGGCTTCTCAATTAGGGAAAAGTGTTTTTATGCCCTTCAAAGTGATTTAAGCGTGTATGCCATTTTGCTAAATATGAAATGAATTCTAAAATCCTCAAGAAAAGATTGTTTTGCCATCTTTTATCACATTCCAAGCTATAAACATGAGTTAGCCATGTTTATTCACGGTGAACACTGTAGATATGTTGTTAAAAGTTAAGAAATACATAGAGTATAGTAAAATTGTACAAGTTCTATTCACAAGATAAAAGAACAGTTCACCCAAACATGAAAATTTGCTGAAAATGTTCTCATCCTCAGATCATCCAAGACCTTCATTGGAACAAATTTGGGGAAATGTAGCATTACATCACTTGCTCATCAATGAATCCTCTGCATTGAATGGGTGCCGTCAGAATGAGAGTCCAAACAGTGAAAAAGTCTGTCCCGTTATCCTCTCTTATCAAAATCCACTGAAATATTTGTTTAGAACAATTTTTGACTGTTTTTGCTTGTAAACGATGCTTGAACTGTGCTGCATTTTTTTCTCTTGATTCAGACAAGATGACTTTTTTTCAATGGAGAAAGCAATATTATGGATAGATGACTCATATTTTAGCAAAAGCTTGTAGTTAAAAAGTCTTAATGAGGGATTTGTTTCTTACAAACACGCAACTTTTTGGTTCACAAGACGTTAATTGATGGACTGGACTCATGGTGTTTGCTTGATGTTTTTATCAGCTTTTTGGACTCTCATTCTGACGGCACCCATTCACTGCAGAGGATCCATTACTGAGCGGTGTAATGCTAAATTTCTCCAAATCTGTTCCCATGAAGAAACAAACACATCTTGTATGGCCTGAGGGTGAGTAGGGAGATGGTGAGTTTTTGGGTTAACTATTCTTTGAATATTGAGTAACTTACATCAAATTCACACAATATAGTGCATTTGTCTACTACTGCTCAGCCATAGAAAACAGTTTCCAAAAAAGCTACAGCAGAGTCAGTGTTTTTGAACAAATCAGTTGTGTGAATGATTCAATGACTCACTCATATAGAAAGTCACTCTGTTGGTTCAACATTAACTTGCAGAAGTGGAATGGAGTGGTACAAACAGTGAAAAGTCTCTGTATTTATATTTATATTGGTATAAATATCAGCATTTTTGAAATAACACTCAGTCAAATGAAGTCCCTATGAGACTATAAGTCTCTACGTCTACATAGAGTCTACGTAGGATGTTTGATCAGTAGAGTAGCTAAAAAGTAATGAAAGTAGTTTTCCTATAAAACACTCATTAAAGAGATGCATCCACAGCAGGGTTCCACAGAGGAAAGGGAATGTATAATGCGAAAGCTGTGTGAATGAGCGTCATAGATAGAAAAGAAGCTTTAAGAACTCTCAGAGACCCTATTAAAGGTGAATGAAAGAAACTGTGTGAAGAAGCAGACGACCAAAACACCCACCATCAGACGTTTTCAAAACAACAACTTTGCTGTACGCTCCCACTCCAGCAGAGTTGTACGCTTTGACTCGAGCGTTGTATGAACTGTTGAAATGAAGGCCGTCCACTGTACAGATGGTCTCTTTCCCAACATAGACTTCCTAAAACATGGACAGGGAAAGAGGAAAAAAGCCGACAAGGTGTAAGGTAAAAATAGAAAGCATCTGGTAAAACATGATCTCATGTAAGATAAGATATGACAACACTGCACGTTTATCATGGATGATAAAATAAGCTGCAGATTTCTGAAAGAGAAGCAGAGACTTTTAAGCATTTCAAAAACAAGATAACATAAAAAGCTTCCTGCAACCCTACTTTGGAAAAGCAGTTTGGAAGATTTAATGGCACAGAGTTAACTGGTCTGAATTTTCAAGCTTTAAGTGGGATTCAAACCAACTTCAACTTCAAAAATATCTTAATTTGTGTTCCGAAGATGAACGAAGATCTTATGGGTTTGAAACAACATGAGGGCGAGTAATTAATGACAGAATTTTCATTTATGGGTGAACTATCCCTTTAAAGACCGCAAC